CTTCCTGCCGAGACCCTCTGTGCCTGAGACACTGTTCCCAGCCTCTCATCCAACAGCCAGGAGCTGAGCACTAAGTAAGTGCCAATACTGGCATTTGCGTTTCACAGATGCACAAAATGAGGCTCAGAGAGGCCAAGGGATTTACCAGGGACACACAGCTGTTAAGCAGGAGTTGGGAGGTTCCCCCTCAACCTCTCCAGGTGCCCCTACCCTGGGCCCCTCCTGGGGATCACCAGAATTTTGTTTCCAGATTCATAGCCTCACTGAACCATCTCTGTATACGCAGGGCCTAAGGATCAGAGTACACATTTGCCTCTAGAAGCTTCTCTGCTCCCTGAAGCCCAGGACACAGTCCGGATGGAGCCCAGCAGAAGCCATGGACTGGGTGTCCGTTGGGGTGTTGGTGGCCCCTGAATGGTGCCCCTCAGCTGATCCCCTGGAGAGGAAGCTGCACCTCTCGGGGTGTCTACCACATCTGCTTCTTTCTCCAGCTGGACCCCCCATCTCAGGCCCCCTCATGCCTCCTGGTCCTCCCCAGCAGTCTCCTGGCTCCTAGTTACCACTCTGGCCCCCTCGGCAGGACCCGGGCCACCCTGGAGAAGGCAGTGCATCCAGCTGGGTGCTCTATCCAGGCATTACTTCTTGGGGGGTGGGGAGTTGGCTGTTCAGGCAAACAAGCCACCTGGGGGTCTCTGGTCCCCGGCATCAAAAGATAGCTAGTTAAGGGTAAAGAAGCGGAACCCAGGAAGCCAACTTGGCCTTGCTGAAGCCTCGTTCCCAGCCTGAGAGCCCCTGCTCTCTCATTCCGACACACACAGGCAAGAGGCAAGGAGGTCACACTACACTGGGGTCTCATTCAGGGGTGACGGGGGATTTTATTCACACTCTGCCAAATGCCTGGACACCTCTGGGGTGGCCATGAGGTGGGACAAGAGCAGAAGGTCACTCACCTGGACGTGCTGGGGGCAGCATGGAGGTCCAGGCAGAGAGGACAAGAAAGGCAGCTGCATTTGAAGTTTGTCTGTTTGTTTTTGAAGTTTATGTCAAGGTCACAACGTGCTGGCCTCCAGGATCATCAGCAGCCATGTGTGCTGGGGGCGGCAGAGGGGGCCGGCTGAGCCACGTCTGCCCTAGCAGCAGAGGGGAAACTGAGGTCCACCCTCAGATCATCACTCTGAGGTTGAGTGATGTTCCCAGCAGCAGGCCCCAAGGCCAGGGAGGGGAGGCTCTTTGGGTGCCAGAATTGGGGGTGGGGTGGGAGGGGGAATTCAGGGCTCATTGGAAACTGAGGCGGAAGGTGGGAGGGTTGTGTTGCATTTGCTGGGTGATATTTCGGGGCGGGGGGGAGGTGTTGTTTTTTCTTTTCCCCCAGCTTTATTGAGACATAATTGGTATCTAACATTGTGCACATTTAAGGTGTAGAAAGTAGTGATTTGATACAAGTATATATGGTTATTGGGAAATGATCACCACAATAGCGTCAGCTAACACCTCCATCACCTCACATAATTACCATTTCTTTTTTGTGGTGAGAACACTTAAGATCTACTCTTAGTAATTTTCAAATATACAATACAGAATGATTAACTATAATCACCGTGCTGTACATTAGATCCCCAGGACTTACTCATCTTCTAACTGGAAGTTTGCTCCCCTTGACCAAAGTCTCCCCATTTCCCCTGCCCCCAGCCCCTGATACACAACATTCTACTTAGATTCCACATATAAGTGAGATCATACAGTATTGGTCTTTCTTTGTCTGACTTGCCAGACAGAGTTGGGAGTAAATATTCGCTCCAGACACAGGAATCCCAGAGGAAACTGACCACATACCCTTCACTCTCTTACCTCGGCCAATTTTGTGCCCTCAGCCTGACACTCCCTTCCTCTTCAACTGCCCAACTCCTATGCATCCCTCAGATCCCCTATTAAATGTGGCTTCCTCTGGGAAGCCTTCCAGGACCCCCAAATCAGGCTAGTTGGGGCTCTTTGTCAGTTTCACCTGACCTTGAGCAGGTGCAATTCATCTCAACATTTAAGAGAACACCAATCCCATGGCTGGGGAAAGTTTCTGACAGTTAGTTGGGCTGGAGATGCGGGACTCCAGCTCCTGGGAACCCCCACCCCCCAGCGCAATGATCCCAGGGCCCCTAGAGGATTCCCTCCCACCCTGAGGGTCTTCAGCCCCCAAGCTCACCAGCTTTCCCCCATGGGTGGTCAGGTAACTGGTGATTTTTATCTTGGTCATTCTTTTCTTAATTCTGCACTCCTAGCTGACCAACCTTGAGTAAGTGATTCAGCCTCTCCGAGCCTCGGTTTTCTCATTTGGGAAATGGCTATGATAATGGTACCTATTTCATAGGGCTGATGTAAACTTAAAACAGGACTCAAAGCAAGTGCTCCATCATCGTCCTCATCATGGTTATGTTCTCTCTTAGCACCCCTACCCCCAAAGTCCAAGGGCAACACAGGATTCCCTTGCGCCCTCCTGTGGCAGCGCCGAGTACTGCATCCTTCCAGGTGCAATTTATTAATTACATTACTCAGATCAAAAGGTTTTAAGTTACCCCCCCAAAAAAATTTATTTTTTTTTAAATTCACTTCAAGCTGGTTTAAGTCAGAAGAGAACGCACTGGCCATAGTAGCCTTTGAACTTGCTGTGCCCTCCTCCTGGATGCCCTCACCCTCTCTGCCTCCTCCTTCACATTCAAACCGCAATGTCAATGCCACCTTCACAGGGAGCCTTTACCTAACTCCCGATATATTCAATACCGAGTACCAACTATGTGCCAGACCCTGTGCTAGGCACGAGGCATACTGCTGTGGACCACGCAGGTGAACACCTCTTCCCTCAGAGAATCTACAAAAATGAGTATTCCAGAGTATGTCAGGTGGTGACTCGTGCTGAGTAAAATAAACCAGGGAATGGGAGAGGTGTGTGGGGTGTAATCTTAAAGGGAGGCGGGGTGGCAGGCCTCACTGAGGAGGTGATGTTTGCGCTGAGACTTGAAGAACAAGATGGGGTCAGCCATGGGGGTATCAGAGGGGTGAGCATTCCAGGCAGAGGGAACAGCAAGGGCAAAGGCCCTGAGGCAGGACGGTGACCTCCGGGAGTCTGGCTGTGTCCCCAGTACCTGAACCAGCCCCCAGCACAAAAGGGTGTCCAATAAAGATTGAATGGATGATAGCCCAGCTGTGGGCTTCAGGAACCGCATGCTGAAATGAAGGCCCTGGAGCCATTACCCTCCTCCACCTGGTGGCTTCATTATTACAAGAGGCCTCTCTCTGTTGGCTGAAATGTGGACTCAGCTTCAAATGCTACTCAAGACAAAGGTATCCATTTCCCAGGATTCCACGCAAAAGCCCCAACACGCCTATTCCCCAATCAATGGTGAGACCAGGAGATGGAAGGCCGAAGTGGCTTAGGGCCAAGTCTCATGCCCCACCCAGACTACACCAAAAGAGGAGAGGGGAACCCCAAGGATATAGGGGCCTATGGCATGGCAAGGAGGGGAAATGGATGCAAAGGGCCAGTTTCACAGAATAATGATAAGAGGTTTACAGCTAGTAAGTGGCAGAGTCCGGTGCCCACCCGTCACCAGACTAAGGACTAGTGGCGGGACCAGCCACTGAGCTGAAAGGTAGGTACTTTTAGCATTAGGGCAGACAAAGAATGCAAGGGCAGCCGCTTCTTGGATAAAGAATGGTCAATGGAAGGTCAGGTCAGGGTCCCAGTAGGACCACCCATAATGGAGGGCGCACTGGCAAAGGCCAGAGACAGCTCACTGAGCCTGTTCCTCTTGGGGGCTCAAGAGGCCCTGGGGGCAGTGGGTAGGGAACACCCTGCCCCTCTGGTCAGGCCTGGGGTGAGGCTGGGGTGAAGGTGGAACTGCAACTTGTGGGGGCTCCGAGAGGAGGATGGTATATGGAGTAACTGATGTATGCATGAGTCCTTACCAGTCATTTCAATTTCAGGACAAAGCAAATTTTTGCTGTTGAATGAACCCCTCCTTCCAGTGGCCCTATAATGGCTGTTATGATCACCTTCTCCCCTCCTCCCCCTCCCCACCTGTAGGGATGAGGAATCCAAGATTCAAAGAAGGCCAAGGGCAAGCAAAGCAAGGCCAGGCTCTGCCTAGCTCCCTAGGGACCAGGCCTGGAAAACGCCTGGAATTGTGCGGTCTGGGAATCACAGCCTGCTTCCCGCCTCCTGGTGAACCAGTCCCTGTCCAGGCACCAGGGGGCCTGTGCAGCAGCTGGCCACGATGGGGTCCCAATCTCTCCTCTGCCCTGACTGCCCAGGTCACCCCCATTCATGCCTTAGCTCCACATCTTTTGAACACTGACCCAAGGGTTTCAGTTTTCCCCCCAAACACCACTCCCGCTTCCACCCTTCCTCCCTCCCTGGAACTTTCACTCTCTCCCTCTGTCCTCAGTTTCCTCTTCATTGAAATGGGACCAGACAGGTCCAGGGCAGGTCGAACCCCCAGAGGGGAGATCTGGGAGGGCAGGGTCAGCAGAGACTGATTCAGCCCCGCGAGCCGGGGCACCGTGCCTGGCACACGGGAGGCGCCCAATAAACGCTTGTTTGTGGGAGGACTAGCTCTCAATAAATAACAGCTGTTGTCGAAGCTGTTGATGCTGGCGAGGGAGCAGGCTCTCCCCTCCCCCAGCCCTTCACCCCGCCTCCCATGTCCCTGGAGCTCCATTCCTTCCCCTGACCCTCCCCACCCAATTTGCCTCTTCCTCCAAGCCCTCCCACCTTCTCCCCGCTTTCCATTCAATCTTATCCCTCCCCCAACCACCCGGTTCCCCTCTTCCTCCAGGTCCCCTTACCCCCACCCAATTCTTCCTCCCTCCCCATCCCCCAACTAGTCTTTCGCCCCTTCCCCACCCTCCCACCTTCTCCTCCCCCCAAACCCCGCTCATCATCCCCGCCCGTTTCACTCCTCCCGGCCCACTCTCTCCCTCCCCCATCCTCCCCACCCCCACAGCGGGGAGCCAGGCCAGGCGGGGCGCCGGAGCTCCCGGGTCCCTGGCTCGAGTCCAGCCCGCGGCCCAGGCCGGGCGGCGGCAGCAGCGGGCGGGGTTCTGGCGGCGCGCGGTTTGGGGGTTTTTTATAACCCTGGCCGGCGGCTCAGGAAGTGCCTCCCCGCGCCCCCTCCCCCGGCCACGCCGCCGCGCTCGCTCCCTCCCTCCCTTCCTGCGCAGGCCGGCGAGACGGCTGCAGAGACGGGACTGAGGCCCGGGCGGGCTGGCGGCCGGCCGCGGGTAAAGGCGCCGGGGCTCGCGGGCCGGGCGGGGATGCGTGACTTCGGGAGACTTTGTGTGTATGCGTTGGACGGGGATGGTCGTGGCCATCGTACGTTGGACTGTCCCCCTGTGGGGGTTGTGTTGGTGTCCGATGTCCCTAAGCGTGTGCGACACAGTTCAAGTGAGTGCCTGGTGTGTGTGTGTGATGCGTGGGTGTGGACATCCACGTAAGTATAAATGCGCGTGTCAGCATGTGTGAGTCCGCATGAAAATGCCTATGAGTGTCTAGGTGTGTTTGAATGTGTGTGTGATTGTGTGGGGGTGTTGTGCGTCTGCTTAAGTGTGAGTGTAAACCAGCGTGTGTGAATAAAGTGTCTGCTGTGTATGTCAACGTCTAGATGAGTGTGTGTCTCCAAACATCTGTGTGTGTGTCTCCAGGTCAGTCTGAATGTAAAAAGTGTGTAAATGCCTGTGTGTGTGTAAATGCCTATGTGTAAGTGTGTCTAGGGTGTGTGTCAAGGTTTGTGGGAGTTGGTGATTTTGTCCTTGGTCTGGTGTGAATGTGTGAGTCTGTGTGTGTAGGCCTGGGTGTGTGTGTATGTGTCTGTTTGTCTCTGGACTGTCTGTGTATGTGTGTAAGTATGTGTGCACATAAGTCTGGGTAGTGTATAGTTGTGTGTTTCTATATGTGAGGGTGTACTGAGTGTGGGGGGGATCCTTTGTGGGTATGCAGTATCCAACTGTTGGTCCCCAGCTGCGCAGGTGTGGTCGCCCTGTTGCCAGTGTGTGTTTGTGTGTCAGGGTGTGGGAGTGGCGCCGCCCACTTCCCCAGAGTTGGTCACCGAGGCCACAGCCCTCTTTCTCAGGGTGTCTCCAGCCCTGCTCAGCTCCCACCCTTTAATTAGCGGCTGGTAGAGGGGGACCGGCAGGGCAGCAGGCCTGGCCTTTGTCTGCTGGCTGGGCAGAAGCTGCCTCCCGCCTGCCTGGCCAGATGTGCAGCGCCCTGAGCCGGCTGGCGGCCTGGACTGGTGGGGCCTCTGCCTGGGCAGCCGCCGTCTTGGCCTCCACAGGGAAGCCCAGAGGCCCTGTCCCCCCAGCAAGCCCGGGAGGTCTGGGTGTGGAGCCATGGGTCCCTCCAGGATCCCTGGGAGGGGATGGAGCCTCTGTTTCCGGGCCTTTTCCTCCTGCATTTCCTCCTCTAGCTGCTGGCACCCTCTCCCAGGCTGGCCACCACCCTCGTGCCTTCTGGAAGGAGGGGCTAGGGGATTGGCCAGGCCTAGGTACACACACACAGCCACACGGGCACACACACAGCCTCACACAGGGTCACATGGGCACACACACCACACACAGTCACATATACAGTTACACCCACACACAGTCACATGCAGTCACACACATCACACAGTGTAGATCCCCTGCTGACATCTGTTGCCCCTACCAGGCTCAGGCCCTGGGATCCCCTATCCCCATCCAGCCTTATCTTTCCACCCCCATGCCTCCTGACCCTTTCGTGGTCCCCCCAGTGCCGTGGGCATGTCACATCTCCCAGCTACCCCCCATGGGCTGGGCCACTGCCCCAGAATCTCTTCCCTGCCTTGCCCCAGCAGACACTCTGCTCTGTGCCCTCAGCCTCCAAGACTGTCTCCTCCCGTCCCCATTCCCTTGCCCCCACCCACCTATGCTGGCTCCTTCAACACTGTCCCCCACACCCCACCGGATCTGGAAGCACAAAAGGGTTGTTGGGAGGAGGGGCCCAGCCTCAGAGGAAAGTGGTAAGGTTTGGGGGAGAGCAGGAAGAGAGGCCCAAAGACACTGCAGCCAGGACAAGAGCCACAGAGACACTTAGAAAGCAAGATTCTGCACCAGTGGGGGAAGGACAAGAGGAACAGGAGTGGGGGAGGGGCATTCCAGCCTGACTTACAGTGAGAATGCTGCCATTTTGGCATGGAGGAGGATGCATTGAGGCAGAAGGGGGCCCAGGGGAGCCCACACAGGAAGGACTTTGATCCCAGAGCTGGTCAAGTCCTCTGAGGATGGCATAGGGGAGAGGAGACAATAGGAGATGGGGGGGAAGCAGAAGAGGGCAGGGGGGAGCTTTGCAGGGGGTGGTGCTGGGAACAGAAAGGATGAAATCCAAGTGGAGGTTCACCAGGGCCAGAGAGAAGGGCAGCTTTCTCAGTGACCCCTGAACTCCAGACCCAGCCCAGCTCCTCCTCACTGCCCTCTCCCTGTCCAGGCTCCAAAGAAGAGGCAGAGGCCCGGAGAGGCTCACACACAGGGGTCTGACACTGCGCCACTAACTGAAGATCCCAAAAGGTAAAAAAAAAAAAAAAAAAAAATCCCAAGGGGTAAACATCAGTCCAACTAAAGGGAGCAGTGGGGTCACAGAGTGCCAAAGAGTGAGCTCCCCATCACTGGAGGGGTCCAAGCAGAAGCGGGAAATGTTGGCTTCTAAATCAGCATCTTAGAGAAAACCTGGCTTTGTCCCTCTGGAGCTGAACTGCCCTGTTTGGGGATCAACTCTCAGACTTGGCCAGGCTGCAAAGAAAACAAGACAGTGTGTGATTAAGGGGGAAATTGCACAGAGAAAGAGGCTGGAGACGGGAGGGGGGAGGGGGGTTTGGCACAGGGTGGTGGCCCAAAGTGGTGTCTCTGGCGGGCTGGCCTGGGGCAGATGCCTGAGGAAGCCTAGAGCTCCCGGAAAGAATCTGAAGGGGAGGAAGCAAGACTAAGGGCTGAGCTGGAAATGCAGGGTGGAGGAGATGTCCTGGGGTCAGAGACCACCATGTAGGGCTTTCCAGCTACTCTGGCAGGGTGAACAGTCTTACCCATGGCAGAGCATCTAAAGGCATGGCCCCTTGGAATGGTGGGGGTAAAGTGGGAGGAACCCAGCACTGGCCTTAGGTTTAATCTGGGTTGAAAATCCACACTGACCAGCCTTCCAGTGTGTCCCATGCCAGCTTCCCCTTGCTGGCCTCCCGCCCGGCTCCACACAGGTCTTTGTGGCCCTGGGTCCCCACCAAGCTCCTCCCTATCCCTGGGCCTTTGATCCTGCTATTCCTCTGCCTGGTGCACCATCTCCAGTCTCTTCACATGATTGGTGGCTTGTCTTCCTTCACACCTCTGCTTCCAAGCCTCCACATCATTTCTTTTAGAGAACGTGTCACAATCTGAACTACTCTCATTTGTTCATCTCTTTATTTACTTCTCTGTCATCGGTCGCTCCCAGGAGACTGAGCCCAAAAAGGGGCAGAGAGAGGACTATGTCCATATCATGTATATCATTACCCAGTGAATGGATCCTTTCAGGGTTATTGGGAAATGACATGAAATGGTGTGAAATTGCTCAGGCCAGTAGGGGGCACATAGTAGGTACTCATGAAGCCAAGGTCCCTAAGTGTCCTACGAGTGCAAGGACAGTAGGCGGTGGGGACGGGGCTGGGTGAGGAAATGCAGTTGGAATCCTTAAACCAGGGGAAATGCCTTGGGCATCCTTGGGGCTGGAGTGAGGGACCGCAGGTCCCCGTCAGCCTGGAGAGGGGCCTTGGCAGTGATTGTGCTGGGTGGCAGGATCAGGCACCCCCGACCTAGTTCCTCCCTCCCAGGAGCCCAGTGATGCTGCCCAGGCTGTGAACAGGGAAGGCGGCGCTGTGGGGGCTGCCGGCAGCCAGGGCTGGGGAGAGACATGTGGACACGTGGCCTCTATGGCTCCCGCCTGCCAGATCCTCCGCTGGGCCCTCGCCCTGGGGCTGGGCCTTACATTCGAGGTCACGCACGCTTTCCGGTCTCAAGGTAGGGGTGATCCAGGGGTGATGGTGGGGACGGAGCAAGGAGACAAGGAAGAGTCAGTGGGACTGGGATAGCGATCATGGGGGTGGGGGCGGGGAAAGTCCTGGGATCATTGAGGCCAGAGTCTTGTAGCCTGTGACCTGGATTCAGGGGCCAGTTGAGGCCAACATCACCTGCCAAGCTGCCAGGACACAGGGGTCCTTCCCAGGGCCCACCCCAGGCCTCTGACCCTCACCCACAGATGAATTCCTGTCCAGTCTGGAGAGCTATGAGATCACCTTCCCCACCCGAGTGGACCACAATGGGGCACTGCTGGCCTTCTCGCCCCCTGCCCCCCGGAGGCAGCGTCGGGGCACAGGGCCTGCAGCAGAGTCCCGCCTCTTCTACAAGGTGGCCGCACCCAGCACCCACTTCCTGCTGAACCTGACCCGCAGCCCCCGCCTTCTGGCAGGGCACGTCTCCGTGGAGTACTGGACACGGGAGGGCCTGGCCTGGCAGAGGGCCGCTCGGCCTCACTGCCTCTACGCTGGCCATCTGCAGGGCCAGGCTGGCAGCTCTCATGTGGCCATCAGCACCTGTGGGGGCCTGGTGAGCAGAGAGTTCTGGGAAGCAGGGGGAAACTACCCATGAGTTTGGGAGTTAAAAACACTTCTAAATATAAGTCAGAGAGGGACTCATAGGCAAAATTTTTAAAGCATTTCAAGCTAACCAAAATGATTAGCTAATTTAGGATGCAGCTAAAGCACTACTTAGAGGAAAATGTATAGTCTTGGGTCAGCCTGAAAATTAATGAGATTAGAAATCTCAAGAGATTAGAAAAGGAATAACAATCTAAACCTAGTAAGGTAGAAGGAATGAAATCATAAAGTTAGGGTCCCAGGGGTCCTGGGGACCAGGACCTGATCCAAGCCCTCTGTCCGACTCTCCACTCCCCAGCATGGCCTCATTGTGGCAGATGAGGAAGAATACTTGATTGAGCCCCTGCAAGGTGGGCCCAAGGGAGGCCGGGGCCCAGAGGAAAGTGGCCCCCATGTGGTGTACAAGCGCTCCTCCCTGCGTCACCCCTACCTGGACACAGCCTGTGGAGTGAGAGGTACATCTGTCTCTGGGGATGGGCAAAGGGGCTATACATCTGTACCATGAGGTAGAGGTAGGCAGCAGTGTCTCTCCATCCAGAAAGTCAGCAGGCAGCTACTTGAGGGGAGGAATGATATCAGTCAGACGGCAGGGCAATGGGGCAAGGGAACAGTCCATCCATCACTGCCATAGTCCAATGACCCAATGGTAAGTGAGACAGGCTAAGCAGCTTGACAGCCAGACAGGTGCTCAGGTGTGAAACCATTCATCTCTAGGATTACAGTCTGACCAGTTAAGCAGCAGGCAGATTGTAACAGATACCAAGCAGCTGCACAATGAAAACACCAGGCAAAAGAAGGGCTCCGCCACCATTCAGAAGGTCAGACGTTTAGGGAATGGAGAGTAAGAAAGCTAAACAACAATAAAATATTTACCAGAACCATCACACAGCTAGAAAACTGAGGACTGTCCAGTGGCAATGAAGAGCACTGGGCCATTCAACGAGTTGCGTAACCTGAGAGTCTGGGTGTGGGACACTGACAGACACACAACCACAATCGGTTATACATATAGAAAAGTAGATGGTATCGCACTCAGGTGGGCAGTCAGACCATCTATAGCCACACAGTTGAGTTGTGCAGGGCATTGATTAGAAAGTTCCATAGTTGGAAAGCCAAGAAGTCATACAAGCCCACAGTTCTGGCAGTGAGTCAGGCTGCTACACACGTACATTCGGGTAATGGGATGGACATTATGCTGACTGTCGTCGGGTGCTGGGAGGCTGTTCAGCCAACCAATTTGGCAGTGGGGTAGCCACGTCATTGTGGAACCAGACTTCCGAGTAGTGGAGCATTTCTACAATAGAACCAGAATACCCAGTAGCAAAAGAACAATGTGTTTGACAGCCTGTTGGGCAGATGGACTAGCAGACAGGGAGTTGGACCATAGCAGCAAACAGCTGAATGACCAGAAATTCTCCATCCAGATGAGAAACCATGGAAGGGGCGGCCGTGGTGGCTGCGCACCCTGAAGCCGCCACCTGCCAGGCCCCTGGGCAATGAAACAGAGCGTGTTCAGCCGGGTCTGAAGCGCTCGGTCAGCCGAGAGCGCTATGTGGAGACCCTGGTGGTGGCTGACAAGATGATGGTGGCTTACCACGGGCGCCGAGATGTGGAACAGTACGTGCTGGCCATCATGAACATTGTAAGTGCCTCCCCCTCCCTGGGCATGGAGCCCTGAGAACCTGGAGCCAGCCTCCAGAGGTCAAGAAAAGGGGTGTCACCATCGCACCTCCAATTCCTGTCCTGAAGCCAGAGAAACAGAATGGAGGGGGGACAGGATGAGAAAAGAGTGAGAAGAGGTAGCATGGCGTAGTGCTTAGGAGCATGGGCTCTGGAGCCAGATGGCCTGGGCTGAAAGCTCTGCCACGTTTTAGTTGTGTGCCCTGGGACAAGTGACTTCACTTCTGCTTTGGTTTACTCATTTGTAAAATGAGGATAATAATAGTACCCACTTCATAAGACTGAGGTGGATGCAGTGAATTTATAAAGCACTTAGAACAGCACTCGGTACACAGTAGGTGTTGTACAATTGTTTGCTATATAAAAATAAGCATGCAGATTGCAGGTACTTGTTGAGGTTGTCAGTACACACATGGGCACACATCTGTATGCGTGCAGAGTTCTCATTCAAGGTAATCACTCAGTTACCTACCTGTGATTCATACAGCTCACCTCATTGACCCGCACTCAGATCTATACTCAGTGCCCATGTGGGATCTCTATTAGGACTCCGGACCTCTCTGAGCCCCAGTGCATCCCTCTGTAAAATGGGGTTATAATAGTATATACAGCAGAGGGTGAGTTGGTGGGAGTGCAGCCAGACAGAGCACTTGGCACATGGTAAGGGCTTAATGAGTGGTGCTCTTGTTTCAGTGAAGCAAAAAGGGAAAAGAAAAAGGTTAGCTGACAGACAGATGTCCCAGTGTGTTGACATGACATCTAATCTGATTCCACTACTTTCTGCCCCAGCCCTGCATTCCTCCCTTGGGCTTTCAAAGTTTCCTGAAACCTTGCCAGGGTTTCTGTGGGTTTCCACATGGGACAGTGATGTCCCAGGGCTCCAAGACCGCTGCTCTGTGTGGCCTCCATCATTTGTGCCCACTCACCCCTGGGCCACTTCCTCCTTCCCTCTGACCACTGTCTCCAGAGCTTCCTGCCCCCACACTTCTACTTTCCTGTGGTGATGCTCAAATTGGTACCTTCAGACAGCCACAGAATGAGACACATCCCTCAGGCCACCTCTGGGCAGACACACTCAAGGCAGCCAGGTGGTGGGCAGGGGACAGAGGGAGGACAAGAAAACAGGCTAGCTGAGGAAGGGTGAGTCAGAAAGAAATATATGGTAAGCAACCAGTGCTTTGCAGGCAGGCTTACCTGGCCTTGAATCCCATTTATGACACCTACCATCTGTGTTTACAACCTTTCTGTGCATCAGTTTGCTCATCTGTAAAATGGGAATGATAATAGTACCTACTCATGCAAAGTTGTATGCAGCAGGCTTAGCCTGAGGCCGGGCATACAGTCGTTACTTGATCAAAGTGAGCTATTGTCATTGTTTCTCTTTCTGTTTTCTACTCTGGGCCCCTCTTAAGACTCCTTTTCTCTTGTTTCTTGGAGGTCAGGTTGCCAAACTTTTCCAGGACTCAAGTCTGGGAAACATCATTAATATCCTGGTAACACGGCTCATCCTGCTCACAGAGGACCAGGTGTGGGAACCTCACCCCTTCCCCTGCACACCAACGCTGCCTGCCCTCCCCAGGGTGGCTGGCGCCCATGCCCTTCACTCTGTCTGTCCTCAGCCCACTCTGGAAATCACCCACCATGCCGGGAAGTCCCTGGACAGCTTCTGTAAGTGGCAGAAATCCATCGTGAACCACAGTGGCCACGGCAATGCCATTCCAGAGAACGGTGTAGCCAACCATGACACAGCAGTGCTCATCACGCGGTGAGGGGTGGGGAGGGCTACAGGACTTGGGCTGGGGGAACAAGTGGTCCAGGGGACCATTCAGATCCAAGCAGGGATTGCCTGCTGGGAGACGGAGAGGCTGGGATTATTAAGCTGCCCCCTCAGGTGCCAGGGATGGGAGGGACAGCTGGGAGCCTGAGAATGTGGGGAGGCGGGTATTGGGCCATTTGGGCATTGATGCACTCCTTCACTCATTCTCTCCTTCATTCATTCATTCAGTCAGTCAGTCAGTCAGCCAGCCAGTCACTCATGCACCCCAGCATCCCCACGGCCAGCTGGGGCAGAACATGAGGCTTCTGGTGAGAGGCAGGTAGCACCTCCCAAGCAGAACTTAACCCCCAGAAATGGGCATGGTGGTATCATCAGGGCTTAGGGAGGCAGCCCAGCCTCCTCATTGCCCCCTCTCCTCCCACAGCTATGACATCTGCATCTACAAGAACAAACCCTGCGGCACACTAGGTACCCACGCCCCCTAGGCTTCAGGCACCTCTAGAGGCAATGGGCTGGGTGGCCCTGGCCCTCAGGGGTGGCCCCGGCAGGGTGGACAGGGCCAGCTAGCAGCCCTGAGCCCCCAGCTCCGCCCCACGTGCCCATTCCCCAGGCTTGGCCCCCGTGGGAGGGATGTGCGAGCGAGAAAGAAGCTGCAGCATCAATGAGGACATTGGGCTGGCCACGGCGTTCACCATCGCCCATGAGATCGGACACACGTGAGGCCAGGGGACACGAAGGCAAGGCCGGGAGGGCCCGGGCAGGTTCCTTGGCACCCAACAGAACCGACACTCTTCTCCTCAGGTTTGGCATGAACCATGATGGCGTGGGGAATAGCTGCGGGGCCCGGGGCCAGGACCCAGCAAAGCTCATGGCAGCCCACATTACCATGAAGACCAACCCATTCGTGTGGTCCTCCTGCAGCCGCGACTATATCACCAGCTTTCTGGAGTGAGGACAGACCCACCTGTCCTACCCAGAGGCTCACACTCATGTTGGCGGGGGTGGGGGATGCCTCTGGAAATCAGGGTTGTGTTGCCTGCAGAGCTGTTCCCTGGGACCGCCACCCATCCAGAGCACCTGAGCTCTTGGCCTGAAGCCCCCCAGCATGACAGCTGCTTTTCTCCCACCGTAGCTCAGGCCTGGGTCTCTGCCTGAACAACCGGCCCCCCAGACAGGACTTCGTGTACCCAACGGTGGCACCCGGCCAGGCCTATGATGCAGATGAGCAGTGCCGCTTCCAGCATGGAGTCAAATCGCGTCAGTGTAAATACGGGGTAGAGAGAGCCTTCCTGCTTTCCTTCCTGGGAGGGGAGGGGCTGCAGGGGCTGAGTGACTCCACATGGGCACTCCCACCCTGGGCAGTGGGTGGGAGACCTGGGAAGAGGAGTGAGTCCCATAGGTCCTGGAGGCACAGCAGGGCATGGGGTTATACAAATGTCACAAGCAATCAGACAAGATGAGGGGGGACAAAAATGGTATTTCCTAGTTCTCCAGACCCCATTTGAAGGCTGGGCTCAGAAATCCTGGGAGGTCACCTTCTGTCCAGCATATCAGGCCACCTGTGGGCTGTGGCAAGGCTAAAGTCCCAAGACCCCTAATTGGCCCATTTTTAACCAAACATCCAGACTTGGTGGAAATAATTCCCCTGGGGGAGAACCATCTTCCCCACTCGGCAAAGAACTGGACAGAGCCTTCCAGGGACACCATGTCTTCACTCCCCACATCCCCTACTGACTGGTTCACAAGATCTCCTGGCCCCAGTCCTTGGCTGGATGAACTCGGAGTCTCCTGATCACTCCCCAACTCTTTCCTGAGATTTAGACTCAGTTCCCAAAGCCCCATTTGTACATAAAGAAGCGAGCTGGGGGCCTACTCCCCCTGCCCCGCAGGGAGCTGGAGGCCTGCTGGCTTCCAACGTCAGCCACCAGGTGCCGCTGGTTCACCTGGTGTCTGCCCCTCCACTGCCCACCTCCCCCAGTTCCCAAAACACCCTCCCCACCTCACAGCCTCAGCCCTAGTAGCCTGGACCCAGTCCCAATCCTTCACACTTAAGACTCAAAAGTTCAGAATTTTCAAAGCCATGTCCAAGCTAAGGCCACGTTAACTCAAAATAGGGAGTAGGCAGCTGTTAAAATGCCCTCATTTCATTCCAGTACAAGACAAGGAGACAAACCTTGGATCAATTCATATTTAATTGGCATTCCTCTCGCTCTCCCACACCCTAACTTGACTGGTAACTACAGCACCCTCTAATGAATTCCAAAAGAATTTGAAACTACCTTGAGCATCTGCTGTGTCCCAGGTATCCTAACAATGATGACTATTGCTGACATTTACTGAGCACTCAGTATATGCTAAGTATGTGATATGTATTATCTCACTTAAACTCTCGACAATCCTATTATCCCTACATTACAGATGAAGAGACTGAGGTATAGGGAGGGTGCCTTGTCCAAAGTCACAATTCAAGAACCTGGCAGAGCTGAGATTTGAATCCAGGTCTTTCTGTGACTCCAAATTTTATAAAGGGGCGGTGGAGGGGAGGAAGTGCCAGAATATCAAGCATGGATGAGTGCTAGCTGTTATTGAATTGATTCTCCCTTTTATTCTTCCAAGGAACATGTTCCTGGCTCTCCTGGTAAAAGGGGGCATTGTTGACTACATGTAAATCGATTAATATGTGTAAGGAGCTGGGCCTACCTAGTGCCTGGTCCAAAGATTGCTATGGTCACTGTTATTCAATAATAGGATTTGTGCAAGCCCTTTCATATCTACTCTGTCACGTGCCTCTCAGCCTTTTATGTAGGCAAGGCCCAACTTGTAGATGAAGAAACTGAGACTCAGAGAGTGGAAATGTGTTGCAAGTGAGTGTTCGAGTTGAAACCTCCCTAGTGGCTTAGGACCCATCCTGGTATACCACAGTGCATCCTTGTGGAGGGACGGAAAAGCAGGACAGGAATCGGCAGTTCTCCTTAAGAGGTGTCAGAAGTGGGGCTGGGGCATGTGATATTTTTACAAATAGCCAGAACACAAGCTAAGTGAAGCCAGAAAACCAACCTGAGTTTTTAGCTGAGAAGTATCCTCTGAAGCGGCAGAAGGCAGAAACTTGGGAGGATATTTGAGGAAGCAGGTCTGAGGACAACCCTCCAAACTTTTCATGTGTGTGCAGGTGTCTCTCAGAGGTTGACCCAGAAAAGGTCCCTTCCCACAGCCGTTGAGTGGTCCAATCCCAAATATTCAAAGCTTGGAAGGATTAGGTTCAAAGAGAAGATTACACATAATTATAAAAATGAGACAGAAGGATTCCCCACTTCACAAGGAAGGACCTTAGGGGTAGGGCAGGATGTAACTAGAGGGTCTCACTTCAACCCAGTGTGCTTGACCAAGGATATTAATCTGGACCTAAATGGTCAGAGTGACATCCTGGGACTGGCATAGGACTTGCTGCCAAGTTTTGGCCCAGTCCAAGCAGGATTCAGACGGAAGGCAGGCTGATTTTTCACTGGAGGGAGCAGCGAACATCCCACACAGATCCAGCCTGGCCTTGTCCTCTCCCTTCCTCCCATTGATTAAAACTTTTGGGAGTTTCCCCAGTTTGGATGAGGGAAACAAAGAGAACCACCTGCTGGGAAAAAAGTTAGATGTAGGGCCCTTGACCTGAGCCATCTTCCATGCCTGATTTTTCAGAACTGCTGCTCTTCCATGGGCTGCTTCACCCATCCCAAAAAGGAATCTAGAATTATTCTTCTACATTCTTCAGCGGGTCCCACGTTTCCTTCTAAAAACTCAGGAGGTGCCCGGGGCTGAACTGAAAAGGGGTTCCATTATACACCCTTCAGTCTGGGTTCGAATCCAGGCTGCCTTTTAGTAGCTGTGTGACCTTACGTGTCTGAGGCTTCGTTTTCTTGCAGTAAAATGGGCGATAATGATGCCTAACGGTTTATGGCACACATTGGTGTTCAATAAATGCAGCGTACATCTAGGCAGAGAGGAGGTCCCAGGCCATGCCCTGCTAGAGTATCCAAGAACATTCCTTGAGACTCAGGAAAGGAACGTTGGGGCCCCGACTGGGCAGTGAGCCAGCCGGTCGCCTGGGTCCTCCGGAGGGAGGAAGGCGAGCTTGAGCGGGCGCCTTGGCCCGCAGGAGGTCTGCAGCGAGCTGTGGTGTCTGAGCAAGAGCAACCGGTGCATCACTAACAGCATCCCGGCCGCCGAGGGCACGCTGTGTCAGACGCACACTATCGACAAGGGGGTGAGCGCCAGCCAAAGCCCCGCCCCCTGGCCTTGGGCTACGCCCAACTGTGCTGTGCCTCTAGTTCCAGGTCGGCTCTGGCCACGCCTTCCTGTAGGCCCTGCCCCTTGCCGGAGGCCACACCCCCACCCCGTCTCTAGCCACGCCCGCACGCTTGTCCCAGTACTAGCTTCACACCCTTTGCTTCAACCACGACCTTTCCTTGAAGAATGGCTCCCTGGTCACGCCCCCATATTACCTGACTATATCCGGGTCCTCAAACCCGTCCTCCGCACTCCCACTTCCGCCCATCCGGGGAGTGCTGAGACCTCGGGTGTGAAGGGGGTGCAGAAATGAGCACCGAGGATCCGTCAAGCTGGGCTCACCCCACCCCACCCCACCCATCCTATCCGCAGTGGTGCTACAAGCGGGTGTGCGTCCCCTTCGGGTCACGACCGGAGGGAGTGGATGGGGCCTGGGGCCCGTGGACCCCGTGGGGTGACTGTAGCCGGACGTGCGGCGGCGGCGTGTCCTCCTCCAGCCGTCACTGCGACAGCCCCAGGTCAGTCTGCAGGATCTCCTGCAGGGAGAGCTGGAGGGGCGCCCCCTACTCCCCCTGCCCCATCTCTCTCCTGTGCTCCCACCCTTTCCAGGCCAACCATCGGGGGCAAGTATTGCCTGGGAGAGAGACGGCGGCATCGCTCTTGCAACACCGACGTGAGTTCCCACAGGACCCCAAGCCCAGTCCTTCGGAGAAAAGAGGCATAAGTCAGCTTCCAAGGAGCCGGTGCTGACGGACTGCCTTTTCTGGAACCTGCTACAGCTGCCCCCTCCCTTCCCTGCCCCACTACACATACCCCACCCCCAATTCCCTCTCGGCCCAGTTCCCCCCCCTTGCACCCCCCGGTAGAGAGAGCCTTCCTGCTTTCCTTCCTGGGAGGGGAGGGGCTGCAGGGGCTGAGTGACTCCACATGGGCACTCCCACCCTGGGCAGTGGGTGGGAGACCTGGGAAGAGGAGTGAGTCCCATAGGTCCTGGAGGCACAGCAGGGCATGGGGTTATACAAATG